GCGTGTGCTAACCATGAGACCACCGCGTGTGCTAACCATGAGACCACCGCGTGTGCTAACCATGAGACCACCGCGTGTGCTAACCATGAGACCACAGCGTGTGCTAACCATAAGACCACCGCGTGTGCTAACCATAAGACCACCGCGTGTGCTAACCATACCACCGCGAGTGCTAACCATAAGACCACTGCGTGTGCTAACCATAAGACCACCGCGTGTGCTAACCATGAGACCACCGCGTGTGCTAAGGAAATCTCCACAGTTGCTACGTGTGGCTTTTTGACTTGCTCTAGCTCACTTACTATAAGCACTCGATATAGCAAAATAGATGTCAAATACAAGAGAACTGAACACACAATCCATTGGCGTTACTCATTTTTAGGTATAAGTATTCTGTAGAAGAATTTGGCAGGTGAAAGTGAGGTTTTTAACTCACTTCAGACGGTTCATGCAAGCCTTGTGAGATCAACTTTGGAATATTTTTTTGGCCACACAAATCACACATGCGTCGCGTGACCCGCCTCGTACCCTTGTTTGGCCAGACCTGAGCTACTTAGTTTCGTATCTTTGCGGCCGATTGTTATTAAGTTATTGAAGGTGAAGGACAGTCACCCCAACTGGGATTTAACTGACCAGAACTAGCGCTATGTTTTTTTTTCTCTATACAGCTGATAGTTATACAAGTATCCCATAATATTGCTGTTTTCCACACTTCTGTAGGTTTTCCTTGTCCTAGAGTCTCAGACAATGATGTGTCAGATACACCAGGACCCTGGAGATGTACCCGAACACGGCCAGAGTCCTAGTTTTCGGGCTAGATCTAGCACCACTAATTCTAGTACTGGTGCTGCTGTACACACAACGAGATCTCATTTTGGTACCCTACATCTGTCTCATGTAACTCCGGGTATGGGTCTGAATCAACGCACAGATCAGATTTTATATCTTCTCCAAACACTCACAGATGCATACAAATCAAAACAGAACACTTTTTATTTTTGTTGTTGTGAATTCCATTCTACCTATCACGTCTCTGGAAATGTTTTTGGAAAACCAAAGTCATGCCACTTTATAAAAAATCATACAAATTAAAGTATTAGACTTAGACAACTTTAGTGTTTTGTATTAGATTAAGCTTGAATGTTACTTTACTGTGTCCATAAATAATTACAATAGGGTAATTCTGAGAGTTGTGGTGGTGTTTTGAAATACCCCCCCCCCCCAAATGCCAGTCTTCAGCGCTAGTGACTGGTGAAAGGGGCCAGTAGTCAGTGGATCGAAGGGAAGTAACCACAGTTATAACTGACCTGCAAGTGATGACCACAGTCTTCTCCCCGTCCCAGGCAGGGTTGTCGGCCATGACCTTGGCGTGTGTCGTGATGTCCTGCGGGGCCAGTTGGGGCAGCTCGTTGGGCTGTGTGTGGATCCAGCCCAGGGGCTCCATCTCCTGAGACAGACACAGGTAGATCAACACACAGGTGAGTCAACACACAGGTAGAACAACACACAGGTAGATCAACACACAGGTGAGTCAACACACAGGTGAGTCAACAGACAGGTAGATCAACACACAGGTGAGTCAACAGACAGGTGAGTCAACACACAGGTAGAACAACACACATGTGAGTCAACACACAGGTGAGTCAACACACAGGTGAGTCAACACAAAGGTGAGTCAACACACAGGTGAGTCAACACACAGGTGAGTCAACAGACAGGTGAGTCAACAGACAGGTGAGTCAACACACAGGTGAGTCAACACACAGGTGAGTCAACACAGTGATACAAGACACACAGGTGAGTCAACACAGTGATACAAGACACACAGGTGAGTCAACACAGTGATACAAGACACACAGGTGAGTCA